AATAACAATTATTTGCATGTATGTTTGTTTGTGCCACTAGAATGGGTGTTGTTATTTTGTTGCAGTGTGGCAATCTCTTGCAGTTAAAGAAATTATGAAATTGTGCATGCCCACTGACATACATACATACATATGTATGTAAATATATAATAATTGTAAAACAATTTGGCAAATGCATTCGCCGTTTTATGTGTTGGCATTACGCAAATATTGTACATACATACAGTTGGAGTCAAAAGTTAGTATGCACCTTGTTCTAATATAAGTAATATTTACAATAATTTTCGTGCAACATTTTTCATTATTTTTTTTTTTATGAAAATATAGTGCATTCTAGTGCAGTTTCACACTTTTCATAAAATTCGCAAAAGTTTTAAAAAATTTCCTCAAAATTTCAAACATTCTATTCAGAATTTTTAGAAAATTTTTGAGTATGAATTTTTTTTTCAGCACATTCAATTTTAGTACAACAAAGTGCCAATGTCAAGTCAGTAAAATTACCGTTAACTTTTTAGAATTTCTTTTAAGGAGGGTGTTCCGCATTTTCTACCATATAACGATGATCAACGCGAATTTTTAGCGACGTGAAACTTCGAATAAAAAGTTTAAAATTTTAATGAAAATTTGTGAATTTTGTTAAAAGTGTGAAACTTTGATTTGTATGGTTTATCTTAAACGGTGTTCACATGAGGTGATTTCACAGGTAATTTTAGAAGCGATTAGTTGAATCATTGGAAGCGATTAGTTGAAAGGCCGTTTACACCAGGTGATTGTTGCTTTCAACTAAAAGTTGCCTGTAAAATCGTCTCATGTAAATACCATATTTATATAGAATGAACTAAAAATATTAAAAAAAAATTTATGAACAAATTTGTTCGTGAAAATAATTGTGAACATTAGTCTAAAACAAGATGTATACTAACTTTTGACTAGGACTGTATGTATGCTTACATATGACTGTCTGTTAGAAATGCACTTTGTGTGGCACGTTGTCTTCGATTGTAAATCATTTCTAAGTAAGGAAGTATTTATTTCTTCTCTTTGGGAGCCATATGAAAGAATTCGAGTATGTACTTCAAATTAAAAACTATGTACATTAGGGTGTATCTCACCTTATACAAAAAAATCATCATCATAGGTACTATTTTTCCATCTGAATTATAAATTGCATTACATTTTAAGATATTCGTCGCAATATTTCAGAAAAATATTAAGGCTTACGTGAGCTGAACAGATTTGAAAATACTTCGAAAAATCTCTTTATTTTGATTCCATTAATAATATTTTCAAAGATTTTTATGCAGACCTTTTAGGCTTAAACGCTTCTGTCATCTGAGGTGATTTTTTTTTTTTTTTTTTTAATAAATAGAAACTTGGTTTTTAAGGTATTTTCAAATCGTTCCAGCTCACGTAAATCTTTATATTTTTACAAAAAATTTTAACTTAAGTCTTTAAAGATGTTTGTTTGGAAGTGTGTTATGTATAGTTTGTAAGTCTTTAAATATAATAAATTGTATAGTTCCGGTGGAAAAACCGCTATATTTTATGGTGAGACACTCTAATGTACATACAAACATATACATATGTATAAGATCATAATTATAAAGTTCCACAACTTAAAAAGTATACGCACATGTATGTACATAAATAATAATAATTAAAAAGATAGATAATAAATACGCGAGACATGTTTTGTCGATTTTCGAGAGTCGAGTCGTATGGGTCGTAAACTTGGATGCTGTTGGTCGGTCGAATTTTTTTTAGTGAACGATGAAGATGCGTCCATTTCTTAGTCACGATAAGTCTCGTCACGTCTTTCTTGCATAAAGATCCGCTGTTGTTTTCTTTGCTTCTGTTATAGGAAGCAGCCAGATCCCTGATCATTGCCTGTTTTCTTAGTGTTTACCGTTCTTCTTGCCGGCATACTTCCAAATTACTACTTTAGGGAAAATAATCGCTTTTACCACCAGCCATACTCTCGTGCTCCAAACCCCAATTTATACGCTTTTATCATGGTTAGGTCCTCAAATCAATTTCCTATCCGGAATCGGGACTACTTATTTGACCTGTTCAGTTTTCTTCAATGTTGCGAAGCTTCAGGGGATACTTCCGGAAGATGGAAAACTGTTTCCTGGAAAATAGTACTAATTCAGATTATTTAGCAATTTTTCCTAAACATTCGAAAATACGCTAAAAACTTATTTGTTATGCAAATACATACATACATATGTGTGCACAGTATACCAAACAAAAGTGTGCAATAAACAAACCAAATGCGCCAGCAGCGAATATATATGCATGTATTTGTATTCCACTTACTACGCAATCGCAATTTTCACGCTAAGCGCTAAAGAAATGCGTAGCCGCTTTACAAATACTTCATTAGACCTGCTTTGCCAACGTTAACCTACTTTGCGATTGCGCACCAAGGACTCAAACTCTAAATTTTTTAACGAGCATTTTCACTTAGTAAGGGCTTGATATGCAGTTGCAAAGTAGTTAGTAAGTAAAATGGGAGTGCGAAGTAAATTTAAAAATAATAATTGTTATTAAAAATAGGTGAACGGGAAATTAAAAAATTAAATTTCATAAAAAAATATTATTATATATGCAAAAATAAACAGTTTTAAAAAGTTTTCAGTTGCTAAAAAATCGCGTTGATTTTTGGTAATTTTTCACGCAATTTATTATTTTTATTTTTGTATGATATATTGTAAGTCAGAAAAAAAATTATCAAAAATCAACGTGACTTCAAACTTGCACTTTATCATACTAGAATTTAATGGGCCATAAAACTGCATACTCAAAAAAAGTCTGATTAAAAAGTTTAAAATTTAGATGCAATTTTGCAGAATTTTTATAATTTTTGCACAAAGTTTGAATATGAATTCATATGATTTTTGTTAGATAATGAGCTATAATTTTATATAAAATAATAAATATTAAATAAACAACAGAAAAATAGATAAAAGATCTAAAATTGTCGCGTACCTATGTATCTGTCGACATTTGGCAAAACAACTTCTCTAGACGCAGTCATTTTCTCTGCAAAGCAGTAATCCATTGAGTTCTTATAATATATTTTTCTTTTTATTCATTAATGTGAGTACTTTATGATGCTACCATAATGAAAGTCAATTAAAATGTAAAATTATCAAATAGCAGTTCACTATATTTTACCCTAAATTCAAACCTACAGAAAGCACAGAAGCTGTTTTGTTCAAAAGTCCACAGATATGCACTTCCATCTCCTTGAGCTATTTTCTACTTAATTTAATCTACACTACTTGTTTACAGCTTCCAGCAGCAGAGTAATAGCCACTGTCTAAAATAAATTTAGCGTGTGACATAAATTAAATTCAAATACAAAGTCGAAAAAAAGCTTGTAAAAATACACAAATTATCTTCAATGTCCAGCAGCAGCAACAGCATTAGACATAACAATAGTAGCAACAATAGTTATTATAGCCGCAGCGACCGTGTCATCAGTAATCGCATGAGTAGAGTAACTGCTGCGCATGCGCAACCTGATCTCCGCATTAGACGCGTTTCACTACTCTCAATCATATCAAAGCTGCTGCTGCAATGCATTTTAATGGTAATTGTAATAACTTGCGCAGCTACGAGACTCGGCGCACATGCACAAGGTCAAATAACAGTGGATGATGACTTTCAACGTTTGTTGGGCAGGTGCAAAATGGGCAGCACCGAATTTGATGATTGCATGAAGGAGGTATTCAATGATTTGCGCGCCTATTTTCCGACTGGTGAGCGAAAGCAAAAGCAAAATTATGATAAAAAAAAAAAAAAAGTTCAAGGAATCATCGTCATCATTACCAAGTGCCCTATGTATTTATGTTTAATTTAATAGTTGGCACTGATTTACATACATACATAGATGTACCCTAGACTAGGTCGCGAAAAAAAGCTTATTATTACTTACTTGGAAAAGATTTTGAATTGATACAAATGTTCGTCCTTGTCAAGTATTAAAACATATCGTTGAAGATATTTTAAATAACTATACATTTCCCAAGGGCAGTCGTTATGTAAATCACTTCTATCCGAATAAATTCAAATCTAGTTATGCAGCACAAAACTAAAAATTGTACGTAATAAAAAGAAAATACAATTTCGCCATGTCCAGACGGAAAAATAACTCGTAAAGCAAGCTTTCAAATCAGGGCGGATAATAACAAACTTTATTCTTCCGCTAGGGACTGCCCCGTTCTAATGCAACTATGCAATTGCCGTAAGACATTAAAAATTCAAAATTTACGACCTCTTGAGGCCTAAAAGCACTTCATATTTTCATTTTACTCGCAGAAAGGTCTTGCTTCTACTCCACGGTCTTTGGCCATGATGACGACGAAATATTTTTTTTGCATGTTTCTAACAAATATCAACATCTCACTTCCCTCTCAGGTGTTCCCGCCTACAACATTAAACCTTTCGATCCTCATCGTTCACCTTTCGTGGAGTTGCGACGCGGCGATCAAAGCGGCTTCGGTGGTTTTAAACTAATTTTGCGCAACATTTCCGAATACGGCTGGGCGCAATCGGAGGTTACTAAATATCGCACAGACTATGCGAATAAACGCATCATATATGCTCAATATTTTCCAGAAAAAAGTTTAGAAGGTTGGTATGAGTTTTCTGGTAAAATACTGGGCACACAAATGAAGCGAAGCGGCTTTTGGAATATGACACTATACGATTACAGCCAGACGACTAGCGTGCGACGGCTTGGTGCACCCGGTGCGTTGTTGAAAGTACGTGTGGAAATCGATCGGATCGGTGGCTTAAAAATGCATGTCGCCAATGCGTTAGCACAGGGACGGGAGCGTTTGGATAATTTTGCTGATGGTGTCATAAATAGCATGTGGCCTATTGGTTTCCCCGTTATTAAGCCTATTATAAATGAATTGGTCAGTAGTGCATTTACCGACATATTCAATGAATCATTTCGCAAGTTTCCTATAGCGAAATTTTTAAGTTGATGCCACGTGTGTTTGTGTGCCTAAAATATTTGTTATCAGAATTGTTGTTACATATTGTATTAAACGATCTATTGTTTCGTTGGCTTACTTTTAGTGTGCTAGTTGATTTACATGATTAAAAAATGTATGTATGTAAGTGTTTATGTTTGATACAACACTTAATTTAGGTTTAGGAAAAAGATAAAAAAAAATACATGTTTAGAAAAAAGTGTTTTGTTCTTTGTTTCTAGCAAAGCAAGTATTGGGGTTAAAATACTTTCTCTTACAAATATTTTATACAGTAATTATTTAAGAAAAAATTTAAAACTCTCGTTTCTTAGGTCAACACTAGCCCACTAATAAAATATTGTTAAAAACTTAATTGTCGTCAAGGCTAGTGGCCACTTGCATTTCCATTTGTGAAAACTCGATTTTCTTATGCGAAATTTCGTCACTCTGTTCAAGCGGCTTGAAACTGCTGAATAATTTCCCCAGGGATATTGTACAGAAGGCCGATTTTTCAAGTTGCTGATTCACCGTGTCGACGAGCATTTGGTAGGCAGCCTCTGTTTCTGGTGTGAGTGGCACGTCTAGAATGGACAGCAGAGTAGAATTAAAAGCGTTTGTCCATATCAACAGGAAACACAATAGTTCAACTACTTATCAATTCGTTCACACTTACGTTTATGTTGATATTTGCTCAAATCGAACATATACTGAAAGTAGCTGAGCTGCTGGTACAAATTCCTTTCAGAGTATTGACGAACTAACGAACCAGTTTTGCAGAATGGACATATGGGTCGATTTCCCGTCGTCACATGCGTATAGAAACGTGTATTCTGATTACATGATGGATCATCACAGACGAGCCAGTTTTGATAAAAGCGTTTAATGTATGAGCGTATACTGAGCAATAAGCGATTACGTATGGCTACTATGTACTGATAAGGGGCAGTGCTGCAATCACTGTTAGCGCATTTTTGTAGCACTGCGTCGTATGAATTTGATGCATTCGGGCGAAAAGCGGTTGCGACGATATTCTCAGCTTTACAGGCAATGCATACAAATTTAAACTTATCGCATTCACGATATTTTTGCAAGGTAGTCTTTACAAGCGATTCACCAGTTGTATCTTCGGTGCGTTCTTGATGGGATCTGGGTTTAGAAGTTATCAAAAAAAAAAAAAATATATAAGAAATGAAAAATTAAAAATAAATTTAATAATCACACTACCTTTGTGCAGCGGCTCTAAATTTGCTCGGATCCAAACCCAATGACTCGGCCACACGACTTGCATCTGTGCCCTCCAACACATCCACCATGCGCGTCACCACCGGATGTATCTGGTGTGCCAGATAATATTGTGTGTCCAATTTTAGCGTCTCGCTGGACTTTACCTCATCCAAGTGATAACCGCGTTGTGTGGCCGGATTATTTGTGCCATCTAAACATATAACATAGTCCACCATGTCTCCTTTTTTATAGCGACGATTGCGTGTTGAGTTCATGCGCAGCGCTACTTGCACATGGGGCTGTGAGATAGCATTATTGAATTCTGTTGGCGCTTTGGAAAGCTGCTTTGTTATAGTGTACATCGGCAAAGGCACAGCCCCTGATTCGACTTGTCCTCGTATCTTTTCGAGATGTGAATGCACTGCATCTAATTTTTCGTCGAGTTGTTTCTCTGAGAGGATTTCATCGAGCACAATACGCCCAACCATAATTGCGAGCTGCGACCAATCGCGGCGTACAATATCAAGACCTTTTTGCTCCTGCACTTTAACCAGTGCACCTAAAAGTAGAATTGATTACATTTACATGCTTTAGTATAATTAATTTTTGCTTTCGGTGACTTCAAACTTACCAGTTTTCGGGTTTTTGTCCACTTTCACAGCGGCATACTTCTTCTTTTTTAACAACAACAAACAACTAAAGACGCCATCGATGCCCAATTCGACTTGCTTGTACATTTTGTTAACGCTCTGCTTGATACTACTGCCAATTGTGAACACTTGATCGTAGTCCAGTATGTTTGTATTCACCATTATGGAATCGGTATCACCGTACACCACTTCGTAGTTCATCTTTTGTACCAAGCTCTTTGTATTCAACAGTATCTCACGGCCCTTGTGCGTTACTAGCGCAGCTAAATGCTGTGCGGCAAAGCGCGAATGCCCCGCACCCAAACATCCATACATCGCATTCGCAGTAATCTTGAGCGCCCACTGACGAATATCGTACTGTTTGAGCTGCTCTGGTGGCATATCTGGTTTGGCCATCAGCTTCTTCACCTCGCGACGCGACTGCACCAAGCGACGCAACTGCTGGGGTAGTATACCAAGCTCTACACTGGGGTCAGGTAATTGTGGCAAATCCTCAGCGTTGTAAGGCTGTTGCACTGTGGTGAAACAAATGTTATACTCCTGTATTATACTGGGATACAGGGAATTGAAGTCCATCAGTAGAATGTATTTATCATAGAGGCCTGCTATAGGATCCAATACCATGCCGCCAGCGTAAGCTGCTTTTTTTCGTCCGCTACTTGCGGCCGCGGCGGTCGTATCATTCACCTCACCATCAATGATTGTGTTGTTATTATCGCTCCATTCACGCTTCTTTTTATCAGGTACTATGTAGTTCTTATCAGTGAAGGCGTGTAGCAACAAGAACTCAATGCGTTCGGAACGTCCATGTTGCAGCGTGCGTGTCATGGTGTTGCCGCAAATATTGGTGATTTGTAGTGCCAAAGGCAACAGATCCAGTTTATACATCATGCGAAGTACATAAGCAGCGTCCTGCATAGTCAGTGTTACCAGTTTCAGCACACCGTCGCCTGCGAAAAGAAAAACGTTTACATAGAGACATTGCAGATTTTAACCATTGTTAGAAGTCTTACCCGTTTCAAACATTTGCAATAAATCTTCATCGTTCACATCCATTCGTTCGTTTTCCTTAATTTCCAAAACTGCTTGGCACAGCGTTTGCAAATCATATGAACGCGCCTTGATTTTCTCCTCAGATGCTGTTCTTTTCACATCGCATACCATCCGACCGGCAAAGTGCTCGAGCCATTTGCGTCCACTAGTGTACGCAGACAAGCGCACACGACCCAAACGCGACCATTGCCCCACTTTGAGTGTTGCGATGCGATCGGTTATCACGTCCAATTGACAATCGATAGCATCGAATGTTACAATCAAATCGGCATCAATTTGCTGGTACATGGCCAGGAACCACATTAGCAGTGCGCGCTCGTTGTCGTGCTTTGCCACATTGATTGCCTTGAATTGTGCCAACTTTGCTTTGAGGTCGTAGGGCCATGCGGCCATCACGGGACGTGTAAAGCCGCACATGCTTCTGTTAAAAGCCGGCTGCGGTGCAGGTCGATCGATGTGAAATCGGTTATGCACTAACATGGAAATCATGCAAATCTCATTTTTCAAAGTTTTAGGATTGAGTGCAGTGCGTACATTTAGCGTGAGGAGCGTAAGTGGTGGTGGTGGTTGTGGTTTTGGATCTTCGGAAAGTGTGACGCCCTTGGGCTCGCTGACGCTAACATCAGTGTTACACCAGCTTATAGGTGCTGGGTTCGCACGGAATTGATTCAATGTCAACCAGCAAGGACCCTTTATTTTTCTGTCGAGCAAGAAGCGCTCCATTGCAGTAGTGTTAGCGCCGAATATGTGTGCAATCGAGTTGTATTTTTTCTTTAAATTTGGTGGAGGCTTCTTGCCGTCGTAATGTATCTGTAAGTAAAGATCAGTTTCTTTATTTGCATAAATTTAACTAAACTAAGTCGTACCTCCATGTAATCACAAACTTGTGGTACATCTATGCCGATTGAATGGTTACCAAAGTTCTTAGTAACTTTACGTGAGCGAAAACCATCCAATTTTAGCTCGACGGAGATGTCATCATCAAACTCTTTATAAAGATCGCTCAGTTGGACAAGTTTACCAGTTTGTTCTTTCGTAATTGGATCTAGCAACTGTATTAACAATAAAATAATAAAAGAAAAATATTGCTGTCATAGAAAAGTATTAATTTTTTTAGTGCTCACATATTTTCTTGGCAGCAGATACAGAATGCGATCGATCTTCTCCACACGCACACAAATCGACTTATTTTCTGCGGTGCGTCCAAAAAGAAAAACTTCACCCGGACATTTATTCGGATCTTCCCAAGCTTCCCAATACCAGAATTTTAAGGTGTCTGGCGCACTCGAACCCATCGATGCATTGCTTTCGCTTTTTGCACTTTCTGCTTCAAAATTGTCCATTTGACATATTTGCTCCCAGTTACTTAATAAGTTCTGCAAGTCGTCAGCATCTTTAGCTGGGGCTAAAGTTAGTTTTTTAACTGCATTTTTTTTCGATACGCTTTCAACTTTATCAAATCGATTTTCTTCGCTCTGCAAACAACTGAAATCCATATCATCGTCAGGAAAATCAGCTTCAGCCGTTTTTGTTTCTTTTAAAGGTGCGGTCTTCTCTACGTTTTTTTCGGGTTTCTTGTGCTCTACTGGCTTCTCTGCAGTCACCACCACACTTGCCTTCTTAAATGCCACTGGCTTTTCTGACTGTTCGGTAGCCGTTGTTTTTTCGTCCGTGCATCTAGGTTTTCCTACCGACTTTTTACTCGCCACTTGTACTTCTGATTGGTTTGCAGCCTCTGCTTTTTCGTCCTTGACTTTCGGTTTTTCTACAGACTTTTTATTCGCTACTGTTTGTTTCGGTTTGAGAATACGGTCTAATAATTCATCATCACTGGCTTCCTCGGGCTTTTTTACTGGTTCAGACATTTTAATATTATTTATGAAACTATTCATATACTCTTTGGCAAGCGCGGCATCTGATTTTCTAGTAGATTTACTTACAATCCTGGCAGGCGCTATAACACCTGTTGATTTCACTTCAGTCTCTGAAGCATTCTTAATGCCATTCGAAGTAGAACTCTTGGGATTTCCATGCATTTCACCTAAAATATCTGCCAATATGTTATCTTCCGCCAACGAAGTTACTTTGGTTTTCTTGGGAACGGCGTTACTGAACAGGTTGCGTATGGAACTTTTCCCCTTCACTGGTTTATCGCCTTCGCGTGGACGTTTCTTACTGTTTTTCTTATTTTTGTCCTTTTTATCATCAATTTCTTCCTCAGAGTATTCGTCTTCGTCCTCGAAGAAGTCGCGTCCGTCCTCGGCATAGCCAGTACCATCTACATTTTACAAAACAAATCAATCAACGCCAGTGAAGTAGTAAATGAAGCGCGGTAGACGACATACGTAAGTATGTAGTGCTTACCATCCTCAATCCAATCATTTCCGTATTTTTCCCTCGCTCGCTTCGCATATTCACGCTCATCCACCACTTCGTACACATCGTCCACTTCCTCTTTAACTTCATACTTATGCTTGCTGCCTTTCAGGTTCCTTAGCCGTTCCAGCGCAGCGAAGCGCCCTTCTTTGTCCACGCGTTGCCGTTTTGCTCTTGGTTCACCTGCCGAGAAAGAATACTTTTTACACAGTTTTTTTTTATCATTTTCATCGCAGTGATTACTTGGAGAGTCAGCCATATTGTTATATTTAATATGAATAAATATTTTGTTTAAATTTGTAAAAAGATTTCACAGACGCACGAATAAAAATAATTTACAATTTGCAGTGCTTGCCTTGCATAAAATCTGACAATTTTAAAAGTAAAGGCGGGAAAACCAAAACAAAAGGCGCACCTGACGCATGGTTGCATTTGAGTTAGAGGTGGGGAAGTGTGGTGGATTTTTTCGATGGTGTAAATGGTATCAAAAGAAGTTTATGCGATTATTAAAAAAAGTTATAAATTTAATTTGGTATAAGATGTTATTAACCCTAGAGTACTAACCTTATTTTTTATTCCTCTAAGTCTAACGTTCGCCTGTGAGGCTACTTTGAAAAAAGTGCAAATTTTGTTTTTTTTTAAACCTTAAATTTATTGAAAAATATGGGCTTAAAATTATTTCATATGTTTCTAAAGTAAAAAAATAAAATATTTTTAATAATTTTTTTTAATATTAATAATAATTCGTATTGAAAAATAATACCTATTTTATCATCTTTTTGAAAGGGGTAATTTAAAAAATAAAAAAATAAATATTTTAAAGCGCACGAACTCAAACAATCCATAAATTATCTTAAAGGTATTCGTATTTACTTTCACACTTAAAAGGAATTAATTGTTTATCTTCTCTATTGTGACTTGTACCTACAAATGAAATCGACTTTTTCGTATCACATTGGGCCCTATGAATAAAAACTAAGCTATTGATTTTTCTTAAAATTTCAAACCTTTTACGTAAATTTATTTGAATAAATCAAGCAAAAGGTTTGAAATCTTAAGAAAAAGCAGCTACTTAGTTTTTGTTTTATTCATATTCACTGTTTGTTTTATTCTTATTCACTGAAATCTTCTTCCGAATTGTCCTCACTATCGCTTCCATTCACGGGCGAAGCCAGGTAGGGGAAGGGGGATGCTCGAGCCCTCCCTAACTTTCAAATTTTCCATATATATATATATAATAGTACCCTGAAATGCCAGCTTAATAGGGTCGAGCAAAATTAATCTCTGTAGTGAGAGTAAAAAGTGAGTAACAACAAAAACTGCGGGAATAAAAAAGCATTTTGCCTGTAAAAAGGTCAACCATTGATCACTTGACACTTTTCATGATTTTACCAGAAGAAAAGGTTCGGGTAAAATCTTGCAACTTGATTCTCTACACAACTCACCAAAAATCGCTCGGATTTTGGAGGAATTTGGAGTACGGGATCATTTTTCCTTTGTAACTTCCTGCTAGTTTGTGTTAAAACCTGTTAGTTCGTGGAGTACTGGATATCAGACTAGGGCTGTTCAGGATGTTGTTCAGGGTGTGGATAGCACCCATAACTTCTATTATGTAATAATAATAATAGATTGGCGCATTTGTTAGTGTTTGGCCAAGCTTCTCCTCCGAATTGTGGCGTGCGCCTTGATGTTGTCATACAAAGCGGAGGGACCTACAGCTTTACGCCGACTCCGAACGGAGTAATACACTCGGAGGTTTGCCATTGCCTGCCGAGGGACGACCGCTGTTAAGAAAAAATCTTTTTCTATATTTTTTGCGATGTTGCTTTGACCAGGGCTTGAACCCAGGTCCTGATGAGGGAAGGCGCGCACTGCTTACCACTACACCACAGCGGCCGAACTACTATACGTATGTACATACAGTGCCGGACAAAAGTATTGGCACAGATAATTTTTCGCAATATAAGTTCTTTATTGTAATTTATTTTCAATATTTTTTAATAAAAATATAGTTCGTACTTCACCAAAAAACATAAAAACAAAATCTCTAAACTTTGTGCAAAACTCAGGAAAATTCAATAAATTTGCATACTAATTTGCAACTTCTTATTCAGATTTTTTAGAGAAATTCTAAGTATGTAGTTTTATAGCCCAACTAATTTTAGTATAACAAAGTGCAAGTTTGAAGTATCTAAAAAATTGCGTTGATTTTTGGACTTTTTTTTAGTAGGTGTTGCTCATTTTCGCCATACAAAAAATAATTGTCGAACATACTTTGTACGGAAGAACCTGACTGAAAAAAAAATTGCCAAAAATCAATGCGATTTTTAAGCACCTTCATGCTTGCACTTTGTTATACTAAAATTAGTTGAGCTATAAAACTGCATACTTAGAATTTTTCTAAAAAATCTGAATAGAAAGTTGCAAATAAGTATGCAAATTTATTGAATTTTCCTGAGTTTTGCACAAAATTTAGAGATTTAGTTTTTATGTTTTTTGGTGTAGGACGAACTATATATTTATAAAAAATTATCGAAAATAAATTAGAATAAAAAACTGTTGAGATATTGCGAAGAATTTTCTGTTCCAATACTTTTGTCCGGCACTGTATATTATTGTTGTTCTTCCACATAATTTTTCACTAAAACACGGCCTCTGGATCACTAACAGTTGGTGAATGTTAATTTGAAACTTTATTAATTTTCGTTACAATTTTATGTAAAATATTTAATTTTCAGCTATTAGCCTGTTCCCGTACTTTACGATTTGCAGGTTTTACAGGAACAGCTGTTTTCGCCTTTAATAAACCTTAGGTGAACATGGCGTACGGGAACGACTTTGGACTAAATCCTGCAAAACCTGCAAATTGTAGACGTTCTGGAACGCACTAAATATTTAAGTTTATTAATTTACATTTGCTAATTTTTTTTCCTAGCTTCACTATTTCATCTTTAAATAGCACTATTTCCGGTTCCTTATTGTGCTAGCGTTCATAACCACACAATATGTCAACGGTTTTATCATCGTTGAGTTGACTCAGTTGCGTTGCCTTAAACTCGAGCTCCTTTTCAAAGAGTATTTGTTCACGCAGCATCTCATCGCGTTCACGTTGCAACTTCATTTCGAGTAACTCCAAACGTTTTTGCTCCACTGCAATGCGATAACGGTGAAGTTCTTGTTGGCGTTGGCGGAAACCGCCCTGTGTCGGTGTGGACTTTGACTTGCCAGAGTCTTCGGGTATCTCCGCAACTGTTAGCTGTAGGCAATTTTCATCATTCTGTGGACCAGCTGCAGTCGTGGTGCGAAAACTCGATCTTCGTTTCGTTTGCAAACGTTCGTTATGCCGCTCAGGACTTTGTGTCGCTTTTGTCGTATTCCTGATGATGCATGTTTGCTGAATGCCATCCACTTTGTCCTTTGTCATTGCACAACAAAAGTCAGCGTCGAAGTCTGGCGTTTCGCCGATCTCGTTATCTCCCAGAAGCAAAAAATCGGTACATGAAGAATAGAGTACAGCCATTCTAGTAGTATCGGTTGAGTTATCTGTTAACTCCAGTACGCGTTCGTCAGAGTACTCTTGGGAGCTAACATCTTCTTCATTATTATCATCAGTACGTAGAGTCGCCGATTCCACTTCACTTTCATCAATCGTATTCAGCTGTGGATCCTCCACTGTGGCTTCTTGCTCCACTGGCAAACAAAACACCTCCAGCTTGATTGCTTCCTTTGCGCGTTCCTTCTGTAACGTATGTATATTTTCATAGGAAGGCACAGGTGTATTCGGTGTTTTATGGGAGTCCAGATCTTCTATAGAGCAATCGTAGAGATTACGCAAGTTGGGTGCATCCTCATCCTCATCATAATCTTCCTCTTCTTCGTTGTTCTGTTCGGCACTCATGGCCGCGACCATGCGATTCCAGTGTTTCTTCTTCGAAACTGCGCCTTTGTTGCGCGGATAGTTTTTGTCCATTTTGGCATAGCGATAATTGACCAACACTGTACGGTAAGTCTCCTTCTCAGGTGAAGGTATCCAACTTAGCTTTTGGCACAGCCGTGGTTTACAGCTATTGGCAGACTTTGTTCCGCTGGTCGTGGACGATGCAGTCTCGCCGTTATCGTTCATCTCTTCCTCTGGAAGAGAAATTGTGTCAGTGGAAAGAAGCAAAAGAGGAGGGAATGATGGAGTTACTTACGATTGCTGTTGCAAATATTCAAATTCATAATGTGCGATTGTCTTAACTGGTTTTTTAGTGAGCTAGATTTCCGAAAAGAGTTAAATTTTCGGTGTTTTTAAAATTTTGAAAAAGTATTAACAAAAAAAAATTATGTAGGTCCAATAATTTTGTTATCCAGCGATGATTTTTGATTAAAAGTTGAAATGTGGAATGACGAAATATCAAAGAGTTTGAAAACAATTTCAATACAAAATATGGAAGAAAGTAATTGAAGTAGGTGCAGTCAAAACTCGATAGCACTAACTAGACGAAAAGGTATCTTCGGTAGAAAAGAAGGGCTTACTCCTTCTACAAAAGGAAAGAAGCTGACCTTTTCAGATAGCGAAAAAGACTAATACTGGAACGTTGTAAACTTTACCGAGTAAGCTATAGAATTTACCAAGGACTATCCGCACCATTCCCTTATAAAGGATTTAGATTACCAGCATTATAATACAAATATAAACGCAGGAGCAAAATCAAACTGATTTCACGAACACCTTCTATGATGTCTCAGTGTGCAACCCGTACGCAAAGTAAGTAAGCTGAAGTTGAGGTGGCGTCTACTTACCGAAAGTTCCATAAGTTGAGCCTCGACACACTAGTTTTTTCAGACCGCCTGAAACCGGTTTTTCATCGGCGAGAAGGGGAAGAGAGTAGTAGTTTACCTCAGCAAATTCAGACGTTGAAAAAGCGGTGTGACTTCGGTCTGAAACACACACACATAGAAAAATCTCTTACTAACCCAACTATATACCGCATATGTACACAAGTACATAACCGGTTGCAGACGGTCTGAAAAAACTAGTGTATTTTCGCGTGTTAGTCTGCTCAGACTGTCTGAAGAGACTAATGCGTCGAGCATCGATTTCGATTGTGAGTGCCATAAGGCGCATATTCCCTTAATCAGGTTTCGTTACAAAGAGAAAAGAAATAATAATCAACGGGCTTAAGTTTATTTATGGCTTCAGATATCTCCATTAAATCGATGTTAGTAGTTTCCCTGATTTCCTTGAGCTGATTCTTTGCCTCACTTTGGTTTAAGATTTCGGTACTTCGGAAATGGTTCTATTGCTTTCAGCGGATCAAAAGGCGTCATATGTAGTCTAAGCTGCAAGTTCCTTAAACTAAGGCGGCTAAATTTGTAGGGGAGACTATAAGC